CAAGAGTTTGTTACATGGGTATTTATCCAAAAATCTTTTAAAGAAATGGTAGTCGCTAATTAGGTTACAGGGTTGACTCTTCAATGATAAAACGGATAAACTACATATTTAGTACCTCAACTATTATTTTTGCTATATTTTATTCACTTAACTATATGTTTAAAAGGATGCCTAACATTATGTTTTGATCACCAACAGTCAAAGAATTAATAGAATTGTTGACGTGGTATTTTTTATTTTGCAATGATAATGTGATATTATCTTATGGACCTATGGTGACATGTCAGTATCATCATTATTTTTAATGGCGGATGATTAAAATAAAACCAAAACTAAATGTTAAATATGATTTAAAAAATAAATTGAAAATGAAACAAAAAATTCTAGGAACTATATTCGCAGCTTGATAATAGCATTTCTGTTAGTAAAGTATCCTGCATGTGCTCTAAGCATAGTAATATTAATTGACTTTATATAATTTAACCATACTTGCAATCACATTCATGAATCTAGAAATTTTGATTATATTTATTTATTGTTTATTTTATTAAATATAATTATTTGAATTTACTTATATGTTTTAAATTCGGTTGGTTAAACAACTAACTGGATAACGGAAATTGATATAAGTTTATTAATATAAAATGTTCTAACTTCCATCAAATATATATAAAATAATAATAATTTATTTGTTTAAATATATAATCATAATAATTGAACATTCAGGTCATCAACGATTCAAAAACTGGATATGGTTGAACATTTTATATTAACCGATCTTATATAATTTAAATCAAAGCATATGTAGTTGATTAGACTGCCAACCTCATATTTAATATTTTTTTTAAAAATGGAATCTTTGCAAGAATTTGTAATAAGTATATCATTTTCACACACAAAAATAATAAAATATAATTTCATGCCGCTGCTACTGCTATTGTATGAGGAGACAAATCTAAGTGTGTTTATGTATATATATATCCAAATGTAATTTGGCAACCTCTTCTCCATATGTTTTTGCTTAATTTCTCTTAAAATTTTATCAAATCAATTCATTTTGTATGAATTTATCGAAAAAATAATTACTAGAAGATACGTTTGAAGATGCACGTCTCTTTCCTAAATGGTAATATCCTTAAAGGCGATTTGCATTCAAATGTGGCAATTTTTGCATTAACATCTTGTTTGAGGCTACAATGTTCTTTTGTATATATTCTTGCAGTATACGGACGGTTATTTTACATTTAAATAAGAGTGTATCATATAAGATAAAAACGTCTCTTATAAGATGCGTTTGAAAAAATATCTCTTATCAGCGGCAAGAATCTTTACTCTTCACTAAACAAATAAGTATCATTTCAAAAATTAATAAAAAAGAATAAATGCTATCCAATGATTAATTTTTTATATATTTAGGCAAAAATGCCCGATTAATGTGTTTTTAACTCTTATTTTCCAACATCAAAATGTCTAATCAAAGGCACCTCATTTAAGGGATTTGAATATAAGGGAATCGCATATTCGCATATGTATTGTTAAAGCAAATTTCGTCAAGCTGACCAAATTCTTGCCTTCTTAAAACATAATTAAGGAAAACTGTGAATGGAATCCAAAAAAATACACCTAATTGTTAGGTGTTAGAGTCAACTAGGTGACTGTAGCACCATTCACTTGCTCTCGCAATGCTACACAAAATTATTAGGACACATTAACCAATACACAACAAACATTCTATTTTAGACATCGCTTCCCTCTCCCAAAACAAATAACAATATGCATTCTAATCTCAAATTTACACCGGCGGTTATTTTTAAAAAAAATTTGGGAAAAAAAGAAAGAAATTAAGAAAGTAGACTACGATTATCAATAGACGAGTCATAGAAGGTATGAACACCCAGAGAGTGATTTCATGCCAACCTAACCATGTGTGATATCATCGACGAGTTATCATTCGATCTCAAATCACGACCGATCACAAAAAAAAAACCTTTTTACCGTCGGTTTCCACAATTAACCGTTCACAATTCCAAACTAAATGCAATAAATAACCCTTGAAAGATTCTCTACAACTCATAAGAATCATTTGAAAAGTGCTGTCTACATACTTTAAAGGTCGAAAAAATAAAATCTCAACATCAACACTCATAAGAGATAAAACTACATAAGAGCGTGAGGAGCACTGAAATTTTAGTTTTTTAAAGTAAAAATGTTTTAGGTTCACGTGTCCATTTTTTGGGGATGAGGCTAAACTTAGTGTATGATGTTGTACAAATTCTTATAACGTTGTTCTACTGAAAAATACTGTTTTATGTGATGGAATTTATCCTCGGAAAAACTAAGGTTGAAAAATGAGTGAGAGATGGATGAGCCGAGAATTAGTGTGAAAATGCAGTTGATTCCTTTCTACATCAAATAACATTAATGAAGGTTTCTTTCAAGAAGTTGCAGATTTTAAATGAGAAGGCATGCATGATAGCTTTTCCAATAACTTGGGTTTAGTTTTAAAAATTAAACGTAAGAGTTAATCAACAAAATTAATTATGTAAATGGCGTTTTCCAATCACAAGTGTGGAAGCAATAAGATTCTTTCAAGGCAACCCCCAATAGATTATAGATTAAACAATAGTTTTTTTTTAACTATCATATCTAAATCTGATTATTTCATATCAGGTTTTATAGAGACTCGTTATGGAGTGATCCTTTCAACTTGGACTTCTCCCTTCATAAGTATTAAGATTTGAATTCATGATCTTACTTAAGTGATCTAGTAGCCCATTTCACTAAACCAACTACTTGTTGGTATTCTTTTTAGGCTTAATATAAATATTTATATTCAAATTATACATTTTATCTATTTAGGTGCTTAAACTTTTTTTCGGCCAATCTAGGTGTTTAACGTTATAAATGTTGTCATTTTAAGTGTTCAATCTTAATGGCCATTAAAAATTATATTTTTAAGTTTTTTATTTTAAATAATTTCTTTAAAATTATCATAACGTGACACATGTCACTTAACATAAATTTTTTAACAACGTTATAGCTAGGGGTGTAAACGAGCCGAGTCGAGCACGAGCATTGCTGAGCTCGACTCGACTCGAAAACTCTGAAATGGAGCTCGACTCGAAAACTCACGAGCTTAAAATTTTCAAGCTGGGCTCGAACTCGAAATCCTGAACTGAAGCTCGTGAGCAGCTCGAAAAGCCTCGAAATAAAAAAAAATTCTTAAACTTAACTCGATTAAAGCCTCAAACTCAAACTCTAACATGAACCTTAAATACATGAAATCTTACTGTATTTAAAAAATAATAATACATAAATATTAATATTATTAATAATTTTTTTTTAAAAAATAAAAACTTAATATATTATATTTTCGAGCTGCTCACAAGTTTTTCGAGTCGAATATGGAGTAGCTCGTTTCGGCTCGTTAAGAATTTGAGTCGAGCTCGAGCTTGAGTTGACTCCATTCGATCCGAGTATTTATCGATCCTTGATCAATTCGATCTCGGGTAACTCGCGATCTGTGTCATCTCATTTACAACCTTAGTTATAGCTAGGACACTTAAAATAATAATATTCATAATATTAGGTATCTAAATTGATAAAAAAATAATTTAGAGACTTAAATTTGAAAAACATTATAATTTAGACATTTACTTTTACGTTATTAAATCTATAAGCAAATGATAAGAGGCGAAGTATTCCGATATGAATCATGATGGTTAAGTAAGGGTGCGTTTGGTTAACGGAATGTAAGCTTACCAGTGGGAATAAAAGATTACCAGGGAATAGGATTACTGGGAATGTTACATTACTGTGTTTGGTTGGTTTGGCAGGAATGTAAGATTACAGTGTTTGGTTGAAGGAATAAAATATTACTGGAATGTATATTTTACCAAATTGTCCTTGTTCTATATTTTTAACAAGTGAAATTCTAAATATTTAAATAAAAATTATTTATATAAAACTTTTTATCTGTTGATAATATATTACTTGAATATTTAAATATATCATGTATTATTTTAATTTTAATTAATATTAAATTTTATATAATTTATGTAAAAATATATTAAAATTTTACATCAACATTTAACTATATGTGTCGGTCTGTTCAATTCATAGTATTCAAAAGACAAAGGCTTTATTTTTGGAAGTCTACCAAAAGATGATATATTGCTACTGTTGAAGAAATTGTCTTTCAAATGAAGTACTTCCAAATTCGTCAATCTTAGTTCTGGCACATTATTACCGAGTACAGTTGTTTAAATATATTGTTTCACGTTACATCTAATTATAAACCAGTATTAAACAAAAATATTTCATATTTGAAAATTTATAGATCAATTAAATTTTTATTTGAAAAAATACAATTAATTAATCATTTTAATTGTTATTATATAACCTAAAGGCCCTGTTTGATTGGTTAAAAATATTATTTTACTTAAAAATTATTTAAAGCTAATAATTTACTTTTTCTTTCTCTAGCTGTGGATTATCCTTATTAGATAACCTAAAATATTTGCTTTGATTGGTATGATCGCTATTATAATAATAAAAAACATATTTATAAGCATAATTACTAAAAATAATTGTGTTCCAGTAATCTCTTTCTCAACAATAAACTAAGGACTAATCAGAACTAATTTATTATCTTTGACAACAATAAAATTAAATCACCGGTATAATAAGTGACAAAACTTATTATTTCACCAGTATAAAATTAAATCTCCAGTATAAAATTAAATCACCAATGTCAAATAATTATTGCAATTTGGCCAAGATAGAAAGCATATGAGGGTAACAAAGTGATACTATTGCAAATGAATATACAAAATGAGAAAAGAATTGTGGGCTCAAATACAGCAGCATCCTAATTAACAGAAATAACAGATCAAGCAAATATGAGTTTCCAGTTGATTTGAATTACATAACAAAGAGAAACAAAAGCTTTCAAACTTTATTGATTAAAGAATATTATAATATAGCCGACTCTCTAGATGTTATCGTTCATTTTGACCAACAGAAAGTGATGAACAATGTATCAGATGCCACAATAATAGCTTAGCAATCACATTACTTGAAATTTCATGAATAAACATGACCAAAACAGTGAATTTCAATGAGAAAACAACTTGGTTTTCATGGATCCACTTGTACATGCTCCGATGAGACTGAAACTTGATATTCAGATCAATGTGTGCAGAATACGAGATTCGCAGGTGACAAGAAGTAACATGATCTGGAAGCAAGTACCTAAACAACATCATAAAAAGAACATTAACATGCAACCAATATTTTTTACAATTCTCAAACCATACATTTATAATCAATATGAAGAGAATTAGATGACGCTAGAGAAATGAGAAAAATGAATGTGTTGGTGTGGAATGAGGAAGAAGATGCAAGGAAGAAGTACATGCCTGGGAATACTTCTACCATCCAAGGCATTCCTCGCTGAAGAAGCAGTTTCAGTATCAGTGAATTGGATTAATGCCTGCCAACAATTGTAATAAATATGAACATCATATTGAAAAAAATGAAATCACCACAGATCCAAAAATCTAAATGCACTTTTTCCATCTCACCTGGAATCCCGCAGCCTTTTCAAATGTAGCAATTTTGTGAACAAAACCAAATGCAGAAAATACCTGGAACAAAATTAAATCAGAAACAGGTACATATCACAAATACAAATAAGAAAAAAACATTAGAAACAGTCACAAAGATGGGTATAATGTAAAAGTCTTTGTTAACAAATCCAAATGGACAAGAAATAAGTGCAGAATGACACCTGTGCATACATGGCTCAAGATAGACCTTAGAAAGAAGTATGACGTACATGATAATATTTCCAAACTATCTCCAACAAAGGAATATAAATAAGGGGCATAACCATCTGTGATTCAACTGATTTCGATAAAAAAAACTGCCATCTCCAACAAAGGTAACAGTTTAACTCATTTCAAATCTATAAGAAACGGTCTTGTGCTCTCCTATTAAAAAGCATATTCCTTAAAATACAGGATTTAAGAAAATTAAGAATCTATCATCAGTCGTAGAAGAAATAACACACGAAAATAGAAGTGATACTTCATACATGGCAGTTCACAAGATTTTGACGAACTAAATTAGGCCACTTCTAGAGTCTAGACATAGAAATTCAAGATGTCTCCATTTAGTCATACAAATATGCTCCTTCCTTAATCTAGAGCACCTGAAGCAAAAAGAGGCTTTAAAAATTCTAGAGAGCCAATTCTTAAAGCAGAAATAGAATAGAGAATCTGTAACAATTGAAGGCATTTAGTTGAGAAATGCATGCCAGTAATAAGCACTTACCAAGTGAATCGTCTCAATGGTCACATCATTAGCTTCCACACCTTCAATGGTAACTAGCAAAACATTTCCTGGGGTATCTTCAGGACTCTTGTTGTTGACAATTTCATGTCTGTTTGAATATTGAATATATACATTTTTTCCACGAACATGTGCTGGCTCTATTGATGAAGCATAATATGAAACCATCGAAATAGCCTGATTTAAGTCTACCTGAAAATAAAAGTAACATAATTAACATAAAAACTAACTAATCAACCTGCAAATATTCTCTAAATTTCACTGCATGAAATTAACCCATCGATATTCAACCTAGAAGAAGAAGAATAGAACCCAAATGATAAGTTAACCCCAGACAAATCAAAATAAACCATCATCCAAGAAAATTCAAAATCCAACCCGATTAGCGGTGAAGTAACACATCAATGTTTACACATTCTTTTCTTGAAGATTCTAATATGATTACAAGGCTGTATATGTGTCTGATTTCAAATAAGAATAAACTCACACACAACTGCTGACAAAACTGCTCTAACTCAGGTCACATAATAACATTTCTTTTACACTTTCAAATGTGAAAAGCATCAGTTCCCCCATCCCAATTCACCACCAAATTAAAAATAATAATAATAACACTTTGCAATTATGCAATTAACCATCAAATTTACACATCAAAACATTAAAAAATCAGCTAAAAAATAAACGTATGCAAAGAAAACAAATCTCACAAAAAGAACTCATACTTCGACAAATTGAAGGAACACATTGAAATTTACACTAGAAAATCAAATTCCCAAAAGAGTAGACAATCAACAATTGATTGCCCTACATAACACAAATTGAACATTATTTTTCGCTAACACAAAGCAATCCATAAACTATAAACAAAGAACTTCAAAAAAAATGGAAGGATTTAGAAGCTTACAAATTCAACAAAAGCTTGGTTCCGATTGGCGCCGACATTGCACTTAGTGTTAACGATCTTCCCAAAGGGTTTACAGAGCTTGACGAGTTCCTCTTCCAAACACTCCCATGGGTATAACGGAATTTCGACCAAAAACCAAAACTCGATCACGAAGCCCGAAGACTTTGTCCATTTGCTTTGAAGAGGAAATTCGAAGAGGAACCCTATGGAAGTGAGCGTTGAGAAAATCAATGGAGAGATGAGAAAAGACTTTGTCCATTTGTTTTGAAGCCTCACACCAAGAAGCACAAAAGTGAAGGTTAAGCGGTGCACCACTCTGGGTTCTTTTTTTGTGTTCTTTCATAACCAAGAAATATGTAAAAACTAAAATATGAACATCAAAAGCAAATATCTAAGCTAAATCGAAGAAGAAGAATAAGATTTTAGCGGAACGAAAGGGGGGGAGAAGGCTATTTTAGACAACGGGGACGGGAATGAGTAAATACCTAAGGGAGATGAGGGATAGACATTCCCGGGAATGCAGTAAAAAAATTTCCTGTTGGTATTAATTTTTCCCGGCACTTGGTAATACAACCTATCCAAACATAGATATATTCATCTAGGAAAACAATATTCCTCTCAGGAAATAAATATACCCTAAACTAAACAGACCTAAAGGGTATAAAATAAAATAATTAAAAAAAGAAAAAAATGGAAAGTTGATTGATTAAGGTGATAACATGCTGACAACATTTGTTTGATTTTGCCCGACACGTCTCTGTTTCTTATACGCATAAAATAATAAAAAGAAAGGTAAACTATACCAATGACTACCTAATTATTGTCTCTTTTTATTTTGATCATTATTTTTAAAATTTTATCAATTAAGTCATCTAATTATTTAAATACATTCAATCAAACCACCAACCATTAATATTTAACGGAAGAGATAACATCACAATTAGCCAAAATAGTACAATTACACATTCAATCAAACCGCTCTCCTTCTTTCATTCTCCAACATGTTATCACAAACTAAAAAATTTATCATACAAAGTAGGATAGCGCCTAAGGGACACATGAATTTTTTGGTATTGTGGATTTTATGAATTACAAAACGTGACCATTTTTCTATCCCTATTGATTAGTTTTAGTGCAGTTAGATCCTTTAGAAAGCTAGAAATGATTATATGAGTTAGTAATGGAAGAATACAGATCTTATTAAAATAAATTAAATTAAATTTTTATAGTCAACTATTAAATTTAAAATCAATGATTAACGATCAGGGAACAACAATGAATGAATTAGGTGGATTAACGGGTTAATTCAAGCCGATAAGTAAAATCGGGTTTGATTATAGATTAGGTTAAAAGTTTTGGGTGAGAGAAGGCTTGAGACATGATTGAGAATATTGCTATAAGCCTTTGATGCAGGCATAGGTGTGGCCATCATAAGGTTTAGGCATCGACCCAGACTGATCTAGAGATAGTAGGCCTAACATGGCATGCAGGTCTTGGTCTAGGCCAGACGAGTTGGTGCATTTGGAACCCGAAAAGTAAAAAAAGGAAAAAGAGTTTTTAAGAAGAAAATTGGTATATATACCCCCCAAAATATTGGGTTAATTGTCTGGTAAATCATTACATTTTATTATATTTTATAAAATAATCCCAAAAGTTTTACTCTCATTCATAATAGTCCAAAGAATCCTCAAAATCTTCCAATTAAGTTTTGATTTATTCACTTTAATCCTTAAATTTTAGTTTTAAATCAATTAAGTCCCCAAAATTAAATTTTGACCCCATATTGATGACATGAATAATTCAAAGAAAGTTCTAACTTTTGATTCGGTATGTAACATCGTTCTTGCAAAGAATTCTATAACCAACTTATCTGACTGCTTGTGTAAAGTATAAAATTTAGTTCGATAGTATTGACATTCGTAGGGTAGAGAATGAGCCCAAAAAGGGCCGAAAGACGATTAGTATTGACATTCGTATAATCATCTTTCAAAAGAAAACTTAATTAGGCAGTAATCTTGTCTATATCCATTATTGGTATTCATGATTCCTTCCATAAAGCTGAATTTTTTTAGACCAAATTACTAAATCTAATTTTCCGCCCGAGCAATTTCGCTACAACAGGTTTCTCCATACTCTTTTGAAGTTGGATCATTTGTAGGATTTATTTCATATATTATAGATAATGTTTTAGTTTGAACCATATTATGAAGCGATCTTTTTAATCCAGTTTGTTTCATTCGCAATCTTTAAAATTCAAATCCCTAACTTAATTTAAGGATTTTGGTCTTATTCCACTATGACCAGTTATCGTTCGTACCTTATTAACCTTTTAATAAAAAATTTGAGAGATAAGTGTGGTTTAATAGAACTTGTACAAATAAATAATACTATTATTGTTTTAGTGAATATGTTTATTTCATACTCAATTGCTATTTCTAAAATAGGTTTAGGCGCAAACTTTGACTAAGGACATGCAAACAATGCAATAACCTTCAGTAAAATGTTTCCCCCAACCAAATGGACCCTAATTATTAAAGCAAAACAAAATGAATAGTATATGAGAAAACTGAAAACATAGTATTAATTATTTTCTTTAACGAGTTCCGTATGAAATATTCAATCAAAAGTTTCTTGTTAACGTTGACTTCCACATACGATCATTATTTATTTTTAACAACTCCTACCTAGGCAAAGGAGAAAAGTTAATGAGTATTCAACCTTTTAATCACGAAGAAAATATGTATCAACCGATAACTTTTAATCATTTGTTTTAAAGATTAATGATAGTATTTGTTTATTTTCTTTTCATGAATAATAGAAGAATTATTTATTCTTTTAGATATAAGTATTAAAATTATATATATTAAATATGAAATGTAGTATATAAATTTTAATTTAATATAATTATATATTTATAATTTTGATCTGATTAGTTTTTGTTGATCATTACAATTATTATAAATGTAATATCATTTTACGTTCATTATATAAATGAATTTTTTTTTAAATCTATATTATTAAATTAAAATCAGATTATATATGTATCATAATTGATCAATAAACTTGCATGCAGAAGCTGCATCATCACTGCTCTCTCTGACTTGGCAACGAGACAACTTCAAACATCCATTTCCCCACTAAATAATCGCTTTGTAAGTAGCCAAAGTTTACTCGTTTTCTTCTGCATTAAATTTCTCTTTTAATATTCATCGACTTGCTGTCTTTATATACCACTTGTCTTCTTCTTACTCTTCATCCCCTTATTCATCTTTATTCTCATATTCTTATTCAAAATTTAGTATGAATTCATCTGATTGGGATTTATCTAAGAGTGGATCACTTAAGAAAGAACTTCAAGGCCCTCGCCCCACGCCTTTGAAGGTCCGTAAGATTCGCACAAGATCAGGAAACCACCGTTGGCACCGCAACCATCGCAGCAACAACCACCGTCACAAATACGACCACCGGTAATCATCTACACCGTATCGCCAAAAGTGATCCACACAAGCCCTAGCGAGTTCATGAACCTAGTTCAACGCCTTACGGGCACGACATCACTATCCAGTGATCAAACCAGCACTGTAATCTCTCCAGCAGCAAGATTCGCTGCAATAGAGAAGACAAAATCCCCAGAAGGAAGAATAAAGCAACAAATTAACGAAGAAAACTTAGAGCTTGTACAAGGCATAGAGATGATAGAGATGAATCCTGGGGTTGAAAGAGCAAATTGGTTTCCAGGAATATTATCTCCAGAGCCAAGTTCACTGCATCCAATATCACCGACCTTCTTCTCACCGCCGTCTGATCCAAACTCAATCGGTTTCTTCAATGATTTGAGTAGGTTCATGCATAGTCCTTCAAGCTTTAATATTCCACCAAATTATTTGATTCCATCTCCTACTACTCCATCCATAGACCTTTTCAACAATTTGTTCAACCTTTAGGAATTGGAATTCTTTTCAGTTTGATTTACATGAATTTGTAAACACCAGAGGAGATGTTCGTATGTGGACTGCAATTTGCTGCAACTTGAACTGATGATGATGGTGGAGTATTAAAGTGGAAATTTAATTAATGTTGTTTTGGTAGGTTAGCAAGTTGGATACTACTAAAATAGCCCTTTTTTTTCTTTCCAAAATTTAATTTAGTGGGCCATCTGATGGCAGCTTGTGATTTATTTATTATTTGTTGTCTTTTATTATTAATTTATTTTGCTGCTTCAAAAATTACTTTGAAATCAAAGAAAAATATGTAATTAAAATTATAAACAAACATTGTACATTGGCACATGATGTAATTAAGGGACTAGTAAAAGCAAATTTGTTATTTTATTACCCAATTAATTAGGTATTTTATTTACAAATTATAGAAATTAGTATTTGAATTATCGTGTTGTTTCGATATTATTATTGTCGGTAATATATATATTTTGAACATGATAGTGATTGAAAATATAATTTGAAAGTTAAAATAAATTGTTGCGGAAAGTTAAGAAAAATATTCAATTTGAGAAAACTTTTGCTTTGTCTTAGAACGTGTGATAGGTCCTGTTGGTAAGACCTCCGAATCAACTTCCTTTGCTGGCATAGATATGCTCACATCAATACTCATCTAATTCATTTATATAATGCCATGAACTAAAACTAAGGCATATCAACCATGATCAATCATAACAAGGACATATATCTACATATAATGCAATTGATTTATTCCTATATGGATTCATATGCATTATCCAATATCTTATTTCACATTCTTACCCATCATGATCAAATTATCATATGTAACCACTTACCATTTCCATACTTCAAACATCAAAACACATAACAAGCATGATCGCACTTACAAAGTTATATAAACTATTTTACTTATACAACATAATTCAAAATTTCAATACATCATGTCTACATGGAATTTCAACCTAGAGGCATATAAAAGTTCTTCAAGCAAAGATGGCATGCATGTATTATCAAATAACATGCTTTACATTCTATAGTTCAGTCGTAAAAATGTGTCACCAGAGGGGACATTAGCTATATATGAATATTTAAAATTTTGTCTCATCACTAAATAACGTACAATAGTCTCCAAGACTGAAATGTAAATATACAACATCCCTTAGTCTTACCAAAGATTGAAATTTATTAAAAAAAATCAGTGCACAAGTGCTATGGACCTACTCTATGATATGTCAATTATATCAAATATTCGACTAATTGATCATGGACTTGATTTATAAAAGACCAAATCATATTTATTAACCAATTTATAATTTTATTTAAAGGACCTAATCTCTCATTCCGTTAAATTGATAAAAGATTAATTCTGATTCTCAAATTTTAAGTACTAATTTTCAACGTTTTTCTTAAAAATCATTTCATTAAGATTAATTTAGATAAAATATTTTTATCTAATAATTATTTATTAATTCTATTCATCGTAAATTAAATTTATAGCGAGTAGTTAACGTTGACTCACGACTTACTGTACGGCCACTAATGTTAAATATATTATCTAAAATCTAAAATAAATTTTTATCAAACAAGTTAAATATGGATACTAAATTAATATTTAAGTAAATATATGGATCATGTGCTTCAAAGTTTAAATACACCATTAAATAAATAAATCTTCCAAGTGAATATTTTCTTTTGAAAGTTCTAAGTGAATATTTAAATCAACATGTGAGTGTGCCAACCAAACCTGTAAGTACAGCATTTAAAATTAATATAAAATTTTAAATAATTTTTTAAAACATTTTTCTTAATTAGCCGAATATGATTAATAAATTGCCCCATAATTAACATGTGAATTAATTATTTCAAATGTATTACTAAAAATAAATTAATAAAACAGTTTTCCTTAACTGAATATTTATTTTAAATAAATAATTTTAGAGTTAAATTTGAAAAATATGATTACTAGACCTTAGAGGGAGCGGGAGAAAAGAAACTTGACCATAAAAATTGTGTCAAAATGGGGAGTTTCATACTGTATTTCTTATACAAGGCACAATGTATTTCATGTTCTTTCAAACTCGGCTCTTGCTAAAATGGCTACACGGTGTCAACCACCCTGCATCATCATCATTAGGATTGTTATCTCCACCCAGGCTCAAAGTATCTCCACAGTCTGCAAACACATGAGACCGGAGAGTTATGGTCGGTCTTGTCGATGGCAAAACCGGAGGTGCCGCTTCAGCTGTGAGAATCCTAGCAGCTTCCTTCACTGTTGGTCTGTTCTCAGGGTTGGGGTGCACACAATAAAGTCCCACCATCAGCATCCTCTCCATCTCTAAAACATTGTACCTGCACAACATTCCTGAATCAGCACCCTCAATCAGTTTCCTTTTCACCCACAGGTCCCAAATCCAGTCAACCAACACGGTTCCATTCTCATCCACGGGCCTCTTTCCCGTAGCCACCTCAAGGACAACCACTCCGAAGCTGTACACGTCGGTTTTCACAGTCGGAACACCGGTATAAACGTACTCGGGTGCCAGATATCCTATCGTCCCGGCTGGTATCGTAGCATCTCTTGAAGCGCAACAATGTTCGTACACTTCGGCTAAACCGAAATCTCCGAGCTTGGCATTGAACTCGTCATCAAGCATGATGTTGCAAGTTTTCACATCTCTATGTATTATCTGTCTTTCACATTCTTCATGTAAAAATGAAAGAGCAGAAGCAACCCCGAGAACTATCTTTAATCTTAAGCTCCATGAAAGGGTAGTTGTTGATGAAACTGAGGTTTTGTGAATGTGTTGGTAGAGGCTTCCATTGGACAAGTACTCATAGACCAAGACCAACTCAGATTCCTCACAACACCATCCTTGAAGCTGAACCAAGTTACAGTGGTTTAGCCAACCGGCCATAATGGCAAACTCTGTGTTGAAAAGATTACGAGTGAATGCTTTTCCGTTGAACTGATCGAACCGCTTCACCGCGACGGTTCCAGCCGACGGAACATAACCTTTATAAACAACTGCTGAACCACCTTTGCCGATGATTCGGCTCTTATGAAACCCCATTGTAGCTGATTTTATCTCTGCAAGTGACCATCTTGTTGGTACATTGTTCGTTTGAACTCTAGGAATTGCACTCTTGATTCCTTTTGCCAAACCCCTCTTCTTCCTCACCGCAAAGAAACAAAATGGAACTGCTGTTACGAAAGCAACTGATGCAACTAAGCATCCCAATACAACAGCCTTTTTCCCTACCTGCAGACTTCTTTTATGAGGGCGATTTTCGAGTGAATTGTTGCGAGAGCACGTCGAGCAATTACCATTGATCGGATCGACCCCAGGCCGGTAACTGCTGAATGTTTTGAACCGCCAATGTTCAATAATGTGCATTGCAGAACCTTGTCCGTTAGAAGCAGAGAAGCCTACATGCATATATTCTTTGAATTGGTTGGAAAGGTCAAGTTGGGCAACAAGAACAGGTTTTGGAGGCTTAATCGATGAATAACTAACCCATATCAGAATCAACTTGGCTGAATCTTTATACTCAATCCAGGCTGTTATCTTTTTCCCACTTTTAAGATCAACCCCTTTCGGCGTAACATCGATTGAAATGATCGAAACAATCGAGTTAACATCGACCCCAATGTGATTACCATTGATGTCACCAACTGAAGGATTAAAACTTGTATCAAACTCCACAGCAAAGAAAGAATCTTGAGAGCCTAAGTCAAACTGTGGAAGTCCCATGTGGCCATTGGAGAAGCTGACAGAACCAGCATTGGAGGTGATCATGAAAACGAAGCCATCGCCGAAAGGACATATGGGATTAGGGATGATGGAAAAAGAGAAACGGCAAGAGAAAGATGCGGTAGCTTTGCTTTTGGGATCAAGAAAACGAACGGGGTAGACGTAGAGTGCTCTTCCGATGTCGGAAGGGGAAGAAGGTGGGAGGCAGGTGGTTTCTTGAGTGAGACTAAAGCCATTGTTTCTGAAGAAGGCGTCGCCGTAGAGGGTGATATTGCTTTGTGGCAATAGAGAGGATGAAATTGAAGGGAAAGTAAAGAAGAAAAAGAGAAGTAGACGAGGGAGTTGCATTGTCTACGTCGTGGAAGTGTGAAGAAGAGATGATGATGTTCTTGACTGATAGTTCTTTGTGAGGAACAGAGGTTTTAGAATGAAGATCTTGGAATGAAGTTGAAGCAGAAAGAGATATTCTCCCTCGTTTCATCTGTCATCTTGAAGTTGTTGATGAATTTTGTGCTTATCAACTAGAATGATAGCCAGTCGAGTCCAAGTTAGAGAGTCAAGACTCAAGATAGATTCAAACTCGGGGCCGGAGGCAGCTCTTCCAATATACATGCACCACATTGCTAACAATTGTATTGACCTCTTAATTAGGGATTTTGATATGATCACAACGATTTCGTTTTTGATGAGGTGGAATTTCATGGAATGTCTTATTGAAACCATGGTTCAAATAAGGTGATAATATTATTATTTAGTTTAATTAGATAAGATGTTAGAGATTTTAAATAAGATCAATTATTCGAATTTTAATATTATAACTAATTGATAGAGTTATCTGTTTGGATAATACAAAATATCCCACATTCATTTAACATTAGCTTTTACATAGGTTTATTTAGTGTCTTGGGCGTTTGGATAATTTTTATATTCATTTAATAAATGAACAATCACGAATAGAGGTGTACTAAATTTGTTTATGTTCATGAAAAAATTCAATTACTTTATATATATATATATATATATATATATATATATATATTAAGTATCGGTGAATGTACGAACTAAATTGAACACATGATGAAATTTAAAGTTTCAACTGTGAAGTTTAAGGAGTTTAAACACTGGTGACATGATTTTACCATTTTTCTTTAGCACTAGTTGATTTTGTTTAATTTCTGAATACATAATAAATGAACATGTTCGCAAACGTTAAATGAATATATTCGCGAATATATAAGCGAACATGTTCACGAACATTAAACAAACATGTTCACGAAAATATAAACAAATACTTTCAAAAATAAATAAATGAACACGATATTAAAAATTTAAATGAACACAAACCGAACATAAATAACTTTAAAAACAAACAAACGAATACAAACAATACCTTATTCGATCAAACTCAGTTTATTTATACCACTAAGATTAAGGTTAAGGCCGAACCCATTTGCATGCGCCAGTGTTTTGTCCCTTTGTATCTGGGTAAAAATTGTGGGTATACTACATTAGTGAAGGAGAAGGAAGATATGGTTTAAGAAATTAATAAAGACAAATTTATTTTTGGTTTGATAATCAGTATCTAATTTATTAATTAATTATTTTGAATCGAATTTTGTAGAAATCAATTACAGAAATAATTTTTTAAAATAATTTATTTTATTTACAAACGCTATAATTTAAACTTTCAATTTTATTTATAAGATTTATTTCATCTCTATAATAATTAGTTGTTAATTAAAAACAAACAAACTTGTGCACATCAAATTCTTAGTGACTCAACGCTGATTTCCAACACAAATGAAAGCTATCGATTTGGCCCTTTGTATATTATTGAACCCTAAAAAGTAAAAACCAAAATAATGAAAACTAAAAACATTTTCATTAAAAAAGAGTAATTTAAAATTAAAACCGCAGTTTACAATCATAAGTATAAAGTGAGTACTTAATTAGAACATTTTCTATAATCATTAATATAAAACTAGATACTTAAGATTTTATAAGAATCATACAAGGAAAATATTAAAATTTTATTTAAAATCGAACAAAATGAATATAAGAATAGATATAATTGTATCAACAAACAAACCACAGTAGGAGATCATATTACTGAAGACCACCGATAATCATGAATCAGAATCGAGTGTTATAAAAATATTATCTTCGAACGTAAATCACGTATCCAAATTCATCTAAAAGTCCAAAGCATAACATATTAACAAGATAATAATAAAAGTCATCTTTAATCAATCAAAATATCAAAATTTTAAAAAATTAAAAAAATGAAATATGCAATAAAATATAGAGAAAATAACCTCAGTGACCAAAAATCCCAGATAATATACGATTTTGATCAACTTTTTTTGGATTTACGAAAATGACGAACAAAATCGCAATGCGATCTCTAATTCGCATTGCGATCTCCACTATCGCAAATTCGCGTTGCATTTCGCATTGCGATTTTCCATTTCGCGTTGCGATTTTCCATTTCGCGTTGCGATTTTCCATTTCGCGTTGCGATTTTCCATTTCGCGTTGCGATAGTCTACAGTTGTCGTTGCGATTTTCCAAATTCGTTGCGATAGTCTACAGTTGTTGTTGCGATAGTTTACAAATTCGTTGCGATGGCGGCGGCGGCGGCGCGCGAGAGTCTCCCTTGTTCTATTCCACTCAACAAGAAAGTGGGAAATTCAAACCTTAAATACCATTCCCAATAGTATTTCCAATTCTATGTGAGATTGAGTATTACCAACACCATAGAATCTTAGTTCCCGACCACATATCAAAACCGTTTGATAGTCATTTTAAATATAGAGCAATTAAAATGTTTATAATAATAATATAGAGTTTTCCTGACACAACTTAAAATTAATAGTCATTTTAAATAGAGTAATTTTTGTAAAAAAAAAAAGGAAATGGATTACAAAATGTTTTATGCTTAAATACTTTCTTTGAACAATTAGTAAGCGTTAGAAATAATTAGTGAAAATCAAATTAGGGTGGAGATGAATGTACCTTTAGTTTACAAAATTTTAAAATAATGCATCCAAAGTTGAAACGTATCAATTATAAAGTGAAGTTACAATTGACAATATCTAGACGTCTCATTCTATCACCTCCCCAAATTACATATGAATCAATAATACATCAATTATTGTAAAGTTATCAGCATGTCGCTGCCATTGACAATATGGACCGTTTTGTTTTCCATTCAATCAAAATTGTGCCAACATGCAATATTCTCTATGTATTGATTGTAACCACCCTATTGGTTGAACAAATTAATATTCTCTATGTTTTATGCTTCCACTCAACATATACTTATGTATGCAGTTTAACAGTCCCTTCATATTTCGGTATCTTTGATTAGTAAAGTGGTGGTCGGGAACTAAGATTCTATGGTGTTGGTAATGCTCAATCCCACATAGTATTGGAAACAATATTGGGAATGGTATTTAAGGCTTGAATTTCACACTTCCTTGTTGAGTGGAAGAGAACAAGGGAGACTCTCGCGCGCTGCCGTCTTCTCGTCTCGGGTCGTGGTCGTGGTAATACGTGTCTTCGACACGTACGCGCGGATACTATCTTTTTAGAGAAAATTCTTAAGAAACAAAATCTTTTTTTTAACTATCACAACTAATTTTCGCAACTAATTTAGAAAATCGCAACGACAACTGTAGACTATCGCAACGCGAAATGGAAAATCGCAACACGATTTTCAACTATCGCAACGCGAATTTGCGATAGTGGAGATCGCAATGCGAATTAGAGATCGCATTATGATTTTGTTGGTCATTTTCGTAAATCCAAAAAATATTAGTCAAAATCGTATATTATCTGAAATTTTTGATCACTGAAGTTATTTCCTCTAAAATATAAACAACAACAATAAGAATAATATCTCTAAAACTGCACGTGGCACCAACACCACCATTTATTATCATCAAATCAATGTATATAAATTTTCCAGAATACGAAACAAATTCTCCTTTCCTTTTCTGTTAAATAGTTGCTTTCAAAGAAAAAAATCAATATGGCAATGGCCAATGGACGATGCCTGCCCCTGGCGCCTATAAATTCAATCTCATTCTCATCTTCTTCAGATCCATAGTCAAATCGAAAAGCTTCCCAATCATTCTACTTTCAATTTTACCCTCATATTTCACGTTGTTTTTTGGATTTGCATTTTCATGGCTGAGGGCGCCGAGATCAAGTCTGCTGCGTCGCCTAACGTGAATGGCAAGGAAGAGATCTGGAACGGTTACTTCGATCCTACGGCCATTGAAGTGGAGCCGTTGCCTTCTGTTCTTTCGGAGCATGGCGTGGAGAAGCCGTCGGAGACGAGCAGGGAGATTGTGTTGGGAAGGAACGTGCACGCTACGTGCCACTCCATCACTGAGCCTGAAGTTAATGATGAGCAGACCGGTGACAAGGAAGCTCAAATGGCTGCAGTTTTGGCTCGATATCGCAGAAGCCTCATGGAGCGGACAAAGAACCATTTAGGTACCGTGTATTTCATATTTACTGCGATTATGTTCATTTTTTTGTTTAATTTGTTAATATTTTTTTATCGCTTGAATAAATAGTGAGTTAAACAATGCTTTTGTTAATAATTGCGGATTATAACTTTTAAGATCTTTTCCAACTAGAAACAGGGAGCTAAGCAAAACTAATAATTAGGGGAACTAAATAGCAGAAACGTGTCATCGATTTAATGTAATATTTCGTATTGTTCTAAACTTTTTTTTTGGATAAATATGATTTTATTATCTAAAGCAGAACTGCACATATACATCAGTGTTCGAATAAAAAAAACAAACTTCATACTAAATGAATCAGTGAACAGCTAAGCCCCAATGGTTGCATAAATTAATATTAACTCTATCTACTCTGTTAATATTCCTATCCCTTAGTTTTAATCCTACAGCATCTTTAATAGTCTTCAGAATTTCTTCTGCAGACCTTGTTCTGCTTTGAAACACCCTTCTGTTTCTCTCTTCCCATAGTGTGTAAATGAGAGCATTGAGAGCTATCTTCATAATCATTGTAAGCAATGATTTGCCTTTCCATGTAGAACTTGCCCATGCTATAAATGCTTCCCATGAACAAGCTGGAAAATGTAAACCAGAAAATGAGAAGACAGCTTTCCAAGTGGTAACAGCAGTATGGCATTTTAGAAATAAATGTTCACTCGTTTCCGGTTCTGAATTGCAGAGAGCACATGTGCTTTCGTTGATGAGCCTCATTCGTTGTAGTCTATCCTTTGTTGAAAGCTTATCAAGGAAAGACATCCAAGCTATCACACTGTGCTTAGGGATGTGCAGGGGAAACCATAATAGTTTCTGCCAAGAGACTTTAGCCTTCTTCTCCCTAATTGAATACCAGATTTTAGTAACTTTTGTAGTACCTGAAGTCAGAATCTGGTGAGCCTCAGGTCTG